CAATGCACAAAAACAAGTACACAAATGTGTTCATAAATATCCGCGGAGAATTTTAAATCATCTTTAATTTGACTGTTTAATGCCGAGTACTGAAAAGAACTGAAAGACTGAGCCGAGTTTATTAAAAAATTCTGTCATTAAAAGCCTGGAGACGTCGCGTTGTAAATTATGGCCCCGCTTCCGGGAGGAGAGACTTCGGTAAAGATCTACGCATTAATTCCTTTCAAATTTACGATTCGTCGTCCCCGCGTCAGACATGGGTGACTTTTTATGGTGATTTCGATAGCTGCACGCTTCGCTCTTGCTCTCGGTACGCATCCCCCCATGTATACGATCGAGAATTTGTCAAATCATCCTTGATTGCACTCGCAAGGGTTCCTCCCATTGTGTTCTTTTAGGGGCTCACGATGTATCTGCATTCCCTTTCTTCCGTCGGCGAGAGAATCGTAAACTATATGAGGTAGAAGTATCTAAATACGAATGAATTTTGTTGCCCGAACATTATCGTCTTTTGTGTCGAATCCGTCGAGGGGAAAGTGTTTCGCGAAACGTGCTTTTCCCGGAGAAATTCTATCGCTCATAGCAGTGGTTCTTAGTCCTTTTTTTCCATGGAACCGTCAGTTCTAAGATCGATGAATTTATCCACGATATATCGTGGATCCACGTGTTCCAGATGTTTGCAAAATTTGTTTCTCAAAAAGGACGACGTTAGAGAATTTTATCAGCTTTCGAAAGTTTCCAAAACTTTATATTAGCAGCTCAGCTAAGAAAGTTTGTAATTTTTCTGTACAAGGCATAGTTCAGGGCATTGAAAGACCTATTTTTGGGCAGAAACCCAACAGGAGGAACTCATTTGCATACCCTTCGAAACATTTTGCAAATGGGTTAAGACAAATGAGCCTCTCGACCGAAAACACTTCCCGGAAGAAGCATTTGTTCCTCGCCCCTGCAAAATACGAACTTCTATCTTATCTGAATATCTGGAGTAATAGATGCTGGCGGGGTAACCATGGCTGGGGTCGAGAGAGATCGAAACCTTTCAGAAAAATGAATTTATTCGTGAATTTATGTCCGCAACTTGCCGTCATCTTGCCCATAAATCATCCCGATCGAGAATAGAGATGAATCTACGGGAATGGGATGCGAAGAAACACCCCCTTTGCACGGTTTTGGCAACTTTTCCCTGCGTATTCGATTCCTCTCGATCCTTTGCCAACGCAAAACGTTAATCTCGCTGCATTACTAAGCTAAAATTCGTGTCGAGAGAGAATTATTACATTCTCCGAAGGACAAATGTATTTTCTGCCTGGAAGAAAATTTCCTTACCAGAAATAAAAATTCATAAGAGGCTAAATGCAGATAATTGAATATAATAGAACAGTAGTAATGCTTTAGCAATCAATCAAAGAAATGATTGAAACAAAGATTGAAATTAATTACTTTTCTCATAGATGAACTCGTACAGTTAACTTTGGTTTAGTAAACAGGACCCTATTAACAATTTACGTTTAATAGTGAATATATTAAGTCGGATATAAGAATTGTTATTGCAACGACCAATATAAACTTACGCGATAACGATAGAGAGAAAGAGTGAGAGAGAGTAATGAAAGAGTTAGCGAGCAAAGCGAAATTCGTGGAGAGGTTTCGGGACGAATCCGTGGGATGGAAGTCAGACATTGGCTCCAGACCCCCTGGCGCCGTCGCGACGCTTCCAAGCTTTTGGCAAAACACATCCTATCCCGTCGTATTCCGGGGCGGGAGCCTAGTTTTTTTATAGCCACCGCCAGTACGACCCCCGGTTTCAGGCTCCCGAAGATCCCCCATAAAATCTCGTCTCTTCTTCGTGTTGTCCTTAACTTCCCTATCTGTTGCTGGATCCTTCTCTGTGGAATACTTCTCCTCCTCGCAAGGAATACTACCGCCTTGATAGGGGAAACATAATTCTTCCTCTGGACCAAGAATTACCCAGCACACACGCTGATCTAAGAGATTAGTTTCGAATTGTGCAACACTGGTCGTGAAATTGTCCAAACTTGCGTTCGAATCTAGTCTCAAAACATAGATTTTTGAATCTTAATATTTCCTGAAGATTCACGATCCTACCACGATCGATGGAACTGATATTTAGGAAAATTCTAACGTTATGGATTTACTAATTTCACGATATTTATTATTCTTGCAGATGCTGGTTTAAGCAGTCGATTCATCCGTTACGACTTTCGTGTATCCACCTCGAGAGATATCAATCCGATCCGGTAGTCGATATCGTTCCTCTCCGATATAATGGAGAAACTTTCTAGAACGCAGGAGCGCGTGCACGATTCGATGACAGGGCGCAACGCGAATAGCGAATAGGACAAAGGGGGCGATAAACTTGTCTAGAAAGAAGGGAAATTGTTGGAACGGGCCATCGGGGGTTGCTTCTATATTTACTGTCGCGCAAGGGTGGAGCTACGGCAGTATCTCTCCGTTTGTTCCAAAAACGAGACGTCGAGATCTTCTGACAAATGATCAACTGACTCGTTGTTCGTGTATCTACGAACTACTTCGAGCAAGTTGATCTAGTCGATACAATCTTCGAATATTAGCATTTATATTTAGATTCGAAATACTGCAATAATTAAATAGAAGTTCTAGTAGAAATAAAAGACATATTCAAGATGAAGAAGGAATACAAGGATTAGTTGTAGATACCATTCTGAAGATTAATTATGAAATTAATATAGCAAGTGTAATAAAATATAGATAACGAAACGAAAAACCAGGAAGATTAAAAGATCCAATACTTTTCAATCGAACAATCGAAAAATTTAAGTTCTAAAGGACTTCTGATAAATAAATTTGGACAGTATTTCTAAAAGTAATGTTTGCCTTTGTGATTGACACGTTCTTACGAACAATTTTTGATAGTTTCAGTACTTGTTAACGGAAGTACCGAGTTATCATTGCAATATGAGCGGTGCTTGCTCCATCTTGGAGTTCCCGAAGGAAACGGATGATAAGGTAGCTCGGGGCAACGTTATCCCGCAGGAGGGAATGCTTGTTCCTCGTAGGGTAAAAAAGACGAAACTTATGAAAATTGAATTACGAGCGTGGTTCTGGCAACTCTCCAGTCAGAGCTTTTCCTTCTGACGTTAGAAGCACAAGATTTATTTCATCGTCGAACACGATGTTGCCTCTCCCTAGTTTCCAAAAGCTTTATTGCATTAACATAGTCTGATAGTACAATGGGTCCTCGATAATTGCAAGACAAGGAGATCTAACATTCTTGCAAGTATCGAAGTAACCAATTTTATTCTTTCTTAAGCGATCGTCACTTTGGTTTTTGTATAAATATCGAGGCGTTTCTATATTAGTATGGGTGGAGACGGATAGTTGCTATATAGAATCTGCGTGATGTAACGAAACAGCTCATTAAAACTCTAATGCTGCCACGATGACGGAGGAAAGCTAGTCGAAATTTTGGCAACGTTCGGTTGACCTCTTTTTCATTCTGCTTGGCGCATGTCATTAACTGGACCACAGTCGCGTTCCTTTCATTGAATTTTGGGGCATTGTTTCTTTGAAAAGAATTTACAAGACGCGAAAGTAACACAATATATTTTTAATACATATCGTAAACTGACCTGGATATTTATTTTCGATTATACAATCGTGTTTCTCTGATCATAACAATTTCATTGACTCGAATCAAGTTCGCTCCAGTTCAATCATTCCAGATGACTCCGATTCCCTTATCGGTATTCAAATTTGTTTAATTATTCGAGCGATGCTGATGTTAAGTTATGCACATCTTATTGCGAGACACTCTATATGATAAACGTTTCGTTTCGTATGTACAGCGTGCGCGTTAAAGAGAGTTAAATGGTGGAAAATTGTCGGTGCGCCGCGACAGGTGTGAAAATCGTAGAATTGTATGTCGAACCAGACGGGGGGAAACGCGATTGAACTTTCCACCGTGAGCGGTGTGATTGAAAAATCCCGCAAACGCACGTGTTGTCCTCGGTGTGTTAAAATGCAGGCCGCGACCACCTACTGCACCCGTTCGATCGGTATATCGAGCATCGCCCACGACTCGCGTATTATGCACAGGTGCATTCTCTCTGCACCGACGCCGTAGAAAAACTGCCCACGTTCCTGAAGAACGATCAACGCCTTCTTATCTGCCTCCGACGCGCACGGAATGCGAGGAATTCGCAAATCTTAAGCTGAATTCACACTGTCGGTCGTACAACCGTCAAAGCATTTTTCAATCAGGCATTCTGTTTGTTATCGTTCCGTCTAGTCGTTATTAGATGAGTCATAAATCGAAATAGATGTTTGCCGAACGAACCAAATGCAGTTTACAAACGGACAGATTGAAGTGAACCTCAAGAGAAGTGTGCCAAATTTAAATGCTACAGTTCTTTCGCAAATTGATAAACAAATATTAGCGAAGACAGATCGTCGAACTCTACACGGATAGAGACACTGTGAGAGTTGTGTGGAAAAGCGTCTTGTATCTTAAAAGCAAATAGACACAAACGTTTGGAACTTACCAAAGCATACGTGAATTAAATATTATTATCTGTTATTTATACGAGTGCACTTTGTATTAGCAAAAATATTTATTCTTATAGTTATTTTCCTAATTTGACCTAAAATCCATCGAAGACTATTCCGACGGACGACTGTCCGACGATTAGTGTGAATCCAGCTTCACGTGTCCCAGTGGGCGGTTTTAAATTAAAGAAACAATGTCGCATCCTAATCGTTGGTCCCTCGGTTTACTATTTACGGATTGCATCGATTCGAAGCATCAATCTCCGCGAATCATCGTCGCGCTACAAGGAAATTGATGACCACTTCCTTCGTGCTGAGATAAATACCGGAAGAGCATCGTGTGTCACACTTCTATGCGTAACACTTTGCTCGAATTGAATCGCAACGTTATATAATAATGTAACTGTGAAATGCGAAGAGAGTAGTTTTCGGTCGCGAGACAGAGAAAGTTGAATCCGTGTGGAGATAGTTCTGCATGGGCATTTCAATCGTAGATATACCAGTGAACAGGACAGTTAAATTGAACAAAGTGTTAAACAGCAAGGGATGACCTTGGAAGATTAAAAACGAAGTCAAAGTTACAGTGAATAATTCCTGATGAGCGAACATCTGTGTTCAGTGTTTCTTCTGTGAATAATTAGTTCCATTTGTTGCAACTTTGGTCTTTTCAGTTAGTATATTAGATCAGTTTTTAAATATCATTGAATTTGTAACAAAATTGTATCGAAGGTTACTGTTGATTTAGATATTTTCTATTCGTCTCCTTTTTGTAATTTTGTAGAAGATTTCTTATTGGTTATTTTATTTCCAATTTGTTTAAACGATATTGTTCTTTTTTCTACCGTTTCGTAAGCTTTTCAATCTACAATCGAACAGCCTTAATTTTCTAACTTTTCTCCTTTCGTGAGCCTTCTCGATCCGCCCCTGTCCGCGTACACTATAATCTGCTGACGATAGTACAAATTAACAATGACATTGATTCTATTTTTTGAGCCTGTCTGACTCGTACAACACGCAGGCTGTTTTCTAGTTATATGGAGTAACCGTTGCTACATCTCACGCTACGCGAGAACTCGGTACGTGTCGTCTAAAAGTGCTAGAAAACTCATTGGCGCAAAAGCGAACACCTCTTCGACGATGTAAATATCTGACTAAAGCGATAACAAAAAAAGTGATGTCATCGATGTGTTCATAGGCTCCTGAGAACCGTTTTCTATGTTTCACGAGGATCGTTACTCAGCGAGTTAAATCTGTAGAGGAACAAATTATATATTACGTTTCCATCGTCCACGAATTTTCAATACTATTTGATGGGATTACGATACACAGAGAGCGAGTAGCGTAAAGCTCGTTACATCATTGCGTACTACGAAACGTACAAGTTCTGAATGGAGACTGGCATGACCAAATTTGGTGCGGTCTCGATTCCGTGCACGACGCTCGCTGTATTTCGATGTTTTTCGAAGAACAACCTCAGCGACGTTGCTCCGCAGGGCTTTACGTTTCTTTCGCGAGCATTTTATAACAATTTTTAACGACCTCGAGGACAGTTTTTAATCGTTTTCGTGGGATCTTTAAATCTCGAGGCGCTGGGAAAACGGGTATCGCCCGAGACTCCGCGTTTATATATAATATTTTTTTATCATCGCGCGTGGGTTTTGAATCATGCTATTTTTAGAAGAAAGTCTGTTTATTTGGATTAGTTATTTGCACGGAGACAGGGAGGTATATAGCGCGCGGAGCCCTACGTGCAATTGTTATCGATTATAGCAGGGTATCGAAAGTTTAAGGATCAGAAACTGGTTAAAATGATAATAATATTACGTGAAAAAATGTTGCACGATTTTCATGCGTGTATTTTCGAATTCATTTCAATATTATTTTTGGTCAAACGACTTAAACTCACTATAATAATGAATTCAAATATCGTAGAATTGTTAATAAACTTTTCCTTTCCTCGTACATGCATTGAAAACAGTAACATTTCCACTAATTTAATAATACAATTGCTGTAACCGTGCAAGTATTCAAGACGAACATAAAAAAAAGAAAATATTAAAGATAACAGATAATAATTAAAATTATTCTATACCTATCGAACTATTTTCCCTATAATTTTACAAAAAACTAATCAACGATAAGTAGTAACAATTTTGTACAATTGTTAGAGATGAGAACATCATTTTTATAACGATATAATTACTATTGCATAAACTACCAGTTTAATTAAATAATACGTACCTATTATGAACAGCTGAATGTAGAAATTGCTTCGATCGAGCATATTACAGACACGGTAACACTATTTCCAATAAAAAGTAATGAAATATAAAGTAAAAAACACTTTTTCAGGTTTCTATAAACAGAGGGGCATTCGTGGCGCCTTAATTTTTTCCTTGCGCGCGCCGTCACTGACCTTGAACGAGAGGAACGCTCGAAACTGAAACGGCGAAGTCGGAAGAGTGTTGTCGGACGTGTGGTTGTGCCCGAAGTGACAAATTGATTTTGTGCAACGAAAGACGGGTTCCTTTTCTATCTATGGATATTTTTCACGGTAAGTGGAATCATTCGATTGTCTGATAACATTATGGGGCCAACGGTCGGCGATGATGCCGCCGGTTCTATTGATTTTTCGTTGATATCCCAGTGATGGGCGTGCTGCCCTCGTTTAGACTTTTCCAATCGTTCCTATACGTTTTCTGGCCGATAAATCGCGTGCTCGTTGATTATTTCGTTAATTCTGCCCGATATTCGCTGTCCCGTCGTCTGTGACCGTATTTGTCTGGGAGTCGGTGCGGATTACAGTCGAGTTAACCTCAAAATCGTCCACCCAACGGGTGTCTCCCGAAATAGAGATGATTCACAACATCATCGTAACAATTGACAGGTCTCCGGTTTCGTAGTGTTCTCTGTGCATCAATTTTAACGCACGTTTTGCATTTTCTATCGATTTCGACAGATTTCGTGCTGGTTTGATTCGAGCTTCTGTGCGCTCCTCTCCCGTTTCCATTGCGTTTCGTTAAATGCGCGACGTGCCAAAACAATAGGAACCGAGAAAATCAATAGGCAGGCTGTAAGAGGTTAAATAGGGAAACCCATCTGCTACCATCGTGCATCAGATTTTATTTAGTTTCTGCATTTGGCTAAATTCATCTCTCTTCGAACCGTAGAATATTTGTTCCGATTCTGCGTTGACGATTCAACGCGTTAACCTCTAATCCACGACGTTTAACGTTTTATTACTTTCGAAGTTTATTTTCAGTTTTTGCCTGTGGTCTGGGGGAAAATAGTCATGGGGAATTTGTTTCCTTGCGTTACAGTTTATATTTCGTCACTAACAGTTTATAATTTTTTATTTATCTTCATACGTTCCACCACCGATTACGTTTAATTGTTATTTTCATTTCTTTTATTGTATAGAAGAGCTCACAGAGAGTTTCATTATCGTTTTCTGACGATTGTTTTTTTTATTAATTCTTTTTTTTTACACTTTGACGGTTATTCGAGAGATATATGTTTTCGTATACCTTTTTATAGTTCGTAATAAGAACGTAACGTGTCATATATGAGTGATTAATTCTACTTCTTTGAAAATTGCTGAAGTGAAATTGATTCGGTTCTTTTGCGGTCTTTTAACTGAGTTTATAGTGATTTTTAGCACCAAAGGATTTATTGGACTGTGGTATTCGATTAAGTTTTGGCCTTTTAATTTTCTTAAAATTGAAAACTCATTTTGAAAACTGAGTTATAAATAATTAAATGAAATCTGTGGTAATTATTCAGTCATACTAATTTGTTGTGATTTTTTCTTTATAGTAATAAGATAAACTGTTTAAATGTACGTTGTTATGTGTGCTATATATCTTTGTTAAGCCGTATGTATATACACATACATTTGTCTCCGAGTAAAGAGGTCGAGGGATCAGTACGATTAAGAAATAAAAAGGGAAGCGTAAAACCAGTTCTACGTGGAAATTGATAAAAGAAGACTTAAATCAAAGGTCGAAATGTTTATTATAAGAAATATAATTTGTAAATCGAGAAAAAGGTCGATCGATGTTCGTTCGTGGAAACAGTTTCTTCGTATTTGTAGAACACTCGCGAACTTGGAGTTCTTAATTCGCGCGGTGCGTGACCGATTCTCCAACGCAGATTTATTCCCATGGAATTGAGCCAGACTCACAATTTAATTATCGCTATCCACTTGGAGTCTGTTGAGAAGCCGGCTTTAAAGCTTCATTGAATTTAACCGAAGTGACGATCTTTATTTTTCTATCGGCGTGTATAAAAAACGGAAAAGATACCACGCTTTGAGAAAATTATTTAAAAAAATGTTTTTAGTTAGGGGGGTCAATTACAATCATTTTTTATCATTAGACATAACCTAGAAATCCTACGCATTTTCGAGAAAAAAATTCGAGTAGGTGCTGAAATTTATCGGCAAAAAAAAATTATTCAAATCGTTTTAAAAAAAATATTTTTAGTTAGGGGGGTCAATTACAATCATTTTTTATCAATAGACATAACCCCGAAATCCTACGCATTTTCGAGAAAAAAATTCGAGTAGGTGCTGAAATTTTTCGGCGAAAAAAAATTATTCAAATCGTTTAAAAAAAATATTTCTAGTTAGGGGAGTCAATTACAATCATTTTTGGTCAATAGACATAACCTCGAAATCCTATGCATTTTCGAGAAAAAAATTCTTTACTGAAAATCTAATGTGAGGCTCACCAAAATTTCATGCGTATCTTAAAAATGTCGTAACTCCTGAACGATTTGGACGATTTTAATGTTTAAAAAGGCAAACGACGCGTATTTTAGTGTAGAATACGTAGAAATTCCAAAAATATTCAGAAAGTTGTTCCTTGACCCCGCAAAATGAGAAAAACCCCATAAAAATGGTCCAATTTTCAAACGACCATAACTCCTACAATAGTGAATATATTTCAATGAAATTTTTTTCTGAAGCAGAGCCCATGGGTACCTACCAAAAAGTATTAGACAACTTTTCTATAGAGCATCAAACAAATGAATTAAAAATGGAAAACTGATTTTTAAGAAAAATCGACAAGGGGGTAGGTGCCTAAATTTTTCGGTGAAATTGAAAAGTTTCAAATCATTCTGGAAAAATTATTTTCAGTTCCGGGGGTCAATTTCAATCATTTTTGGTCATTAGACATACCCTCGAAATCCTACCCACTTTCGAGAAAAAAAATTCGAGGTGTGAAATTTTTCGACGAAATTAAAAAATTTCAAATCGTTCTAAAAAAATTATTTTTAGTTGCAGGGGTCAATTACAATTATTTTCGGTGAATAGACATACCCCTGAATTCCTACGCAGTTTCGAGAAAAAAATTCCTTGCTAAAGAAAATCTAATATTATGTTTAAAAAATCATAACTCCTGAACGAATTGTAGAATTTTAATGTTTAGAAATTCTAAGAAAGACACAAGGATCAGTCCGACGGGGCAAAATTATAAACCTCTTGATTTTTATTTCCAGGTTACGAATTTTTATTCGTTCGGGACAAACGGAACAGTGTGCGTCGAAGTTAGCGAGAAGCTCGTTTAATTAAAAGATAGAATCATACGTGCCTTCAACGACTCGGAATTTAAATGTAAATGTAACGCATTAGAATCGTCGGAGAACACATAATCCGGATTCATGCACTCCATTGGCTAGTGTTTGTAAATCAGCTGCGGGAGGCTATAGCGAGATCCGTTAACTCGATGGTTTATCCTTTGTGGTCCGTACGTCTGACCTCGCGAAAGAGACTTCGACATTCGGGTCGCCAATTTGGTTCAAATTTTGCATACATCGCGCGCTAGGGCAGTCCTTATTTTTGACCCCGGAATGGTTCCAATACATAAAAAAATATAGCTAAAACGTGAGCTCGATTGGATAACGGAAAAACGTGCCTCGTTGGCTTTCGGGTTTTATCTCTAAAAAATTATCCATTTGCCAAGCTGTTTTATTGTTTCTCTATAGATTTAATTTAGAATCCGATTATTTGACCAACGACGATATTCGTTACAAATTGTAAAAAATAAACAACTTGTTCAATTGCAATAGTATTAAATTTTGTATTCGTGAAATCCGAAGAATAGTATCTTCTTTTATACTATAAACTCTTTAATAGCTATCAGAGCGTTGACTGTACACACGTCTGGCCCCGATAAGGCAGTCTTAAGCAAGGATGAGTAAGATTCTTATCTAGATAAACATTTAGAATGATACATAACAGTTTACAATTTCTTTTTAATAAAATAGGGCTCACTGATAGCAAAAATAATAGTTTGATAGGGCAGATGTTCTTAATAAGATCTTCCACTTGTAACTATGGCGTGTATAAAGGAAACAGGTTTAATTGATAGCTGAATAGTTTAATGCCTTGTCTAGAAATTGCCTCACAATATCTACAATCTTGTTAACGTATAATACTCACTGAACGTCATTCAGTATGGTCGAAGCGTTCGTCCGATCAGCACTGTCGCGTTGTCTGTGATTTCCGTTACAGTTGCGTTGATATTCAATATGTCAGGATTAAGCGTAGATCAAGCGTGGTAACAACTGGAACCGATCACTTAATCACTTCGAAATAAATAGATTGTTTCAAGTACAAGTCGAATATAAGCATCATTGGTCCTAAAACAAAGTCGATTGGTAAAGAATTAGACGGTGCTTGAGCACGCAGAGCTCAGAAATATACAAAGGAGGATATAAAATAGTTAGAGGACGTTTCACAGTCTAAGGAGGGATCATAGTATGAACCAGGATTGGCTGATGCAGAATACGATAAAAAGTTTCGAAGCTAAAAGAATGAACGTGTAAAACTTGAAACGGGTCTTTGTCCAAACCGTATCTCTCATGCCTGGCGTCGTTAATAACTCGGATATCTAATAATATTGTCCATCGTATGACTTACGATCTTCCTTCTTTTATTAATTAGTTTCCAAAATATAAAAAGAGACCCCAAAAGTTCCCTTTTGAATGCTATTATTGAAATGAAGATAAGATGATCGAAAGGGACGGTTAATCGAGGCTCTGCTACACGACGAATTACGTCACACCGTGTATACGCGTCTGGAAAACGCAGTTCCATTTCGAGCTGCATTTATAGAAGCACATGTATGTCGGTGCGTGTACAACACACGTGCTTGGACGCTTGAAAATAGTAGCGCGGCCTTCGTGTATGAAATCCCTACGCGACGAGCATGTGCATGAGTTAAAGGTCCATTTGTACGTCAATGGGCCGGGCCACTGTCATTAAAAAAAAAAAATTAAACAATGTATACCGCCGCACAAACACGGTCGACGCGACTCTCGGACGAATCTCGCCCCGTGACACTCGTCAAAGGTTTATCGACAACGATTTCTCGATGAGCTCGCTCGTACTGTTCAAGACAAACGAGGCGTCATGATTTTTGACGAAAAATTCATTGAAAATATTAGAAAAATGTCCCTTCGCTCTGAACTATCGATGATCGTTTATAGAGAAGCGACTCTTCTTTAGTGGGATTTGTATCGTAGTTGAATCTTGAACGTTTGCACACT